ATTATAAAATTTTTAATAATTCCTTACATTAATTTCCTCAAAACTTTTTATGTTGTGAATGTAGTATAAAAATAATAATGTAAAATTCTTAATATACTAATTTTTTTTCCCGAAAAACAAGGTTTTCATACGATTCTATTTTTGATAACTCAAATATGTTTTATGCATTTAAAGTACAATTTTTTAATTTATTTGGGGTTTTAAATTTTACATTTTGTATTTTAATCTTGATAAAATTTGTTAAAAGACTTTTGTTTCTAATTTTATTTTATTTTTCACTCATTTATTTATTATAGATGAAACCTTTATTTACTTTTTAAAAAATTCAAGTTTTACTGGTTTACATTTATTTTAATGTATATTTTTTAAATTTTTAGACCATTTATTTTTATATTATTTGCTGTATTTAAATTAAATTATTTCAACAAAAAATACAAATTAATTCTTTTTATAAAATTTCAGAGTTCAGGCAAAAGTTCTGTTATTGAAGGAATAGTCGGTAGAACATTTTTACCCAGAGGAACAGGCATTGTTACAAGAAGGCCTCTAATATTACAATTAATTTATACTCCTAAAGATGATACTACTCATCGCAGTTCAAAAAATGGTAAAAATTATTATAAATAATCTTTGAATAACACCAATAAAGTTATTATCGAGTACTGAAATATATATGTTAGCTTATATTGTAAGACACAGTAAGTCATTATAATTATTGTTTTAGGAACTTTGGACCTTGAAGATTGGGGTACCTTTTTGCATACAAAAGATAAAATATATACAGATTTTTTAGAAATTCAAAAAGAAATTGAATATGAAACAGATAGAATGGCTGGGTCAAACAAAGGTGTTTGTCCAGAACCTATCACACTTAAAATTTATTCTACCAGAGTAGTTAACCTTACTTTGGTTGATCTTCCAGGCATTACCAAAGTAAGTTATAACAAACTTTTATGTTTTTTTTTTTTTTTTTTTTACCACATTGTGCATTTTAAAGTACAATATTTAAATTATGTTAATATGAAAGTTTATGTTTTCATTTCGCTATTAACTCATGTAGATTATTATAAATTTATTTGAGTTAATTTAATTTACTATTAATTAATGTATTATTAATGGGTTTTTTTATTGCAAAAAAACATAGTAATTTATTTTTTACTAATCAGGTTCCTGTAGGAGATCAGCCAGAAGACATAGAAGTTCAAATAAAAGATTTAGTTTTTAAGTTTATAAGTAATCCTAACTCTATTATTCTCGCTGTGATTACTGCGAATACAGATATGGCGACAAGTGAAAGTTTAAAATTAGCCAAAGAATGTGATCCAGACGGAAGAAGAACTTTAGCAGTTGTTACTAAGCTTGATTTAATGGATGCTGGTTTGTGTTTTTCTGATCAAGTGAAATTTTTTATTTTTGTAAATTATCATTTTTAGTGTATTTAAAAAAAAAAAAAAAGGTAATTGAAAATTTATTTTTTATTGCATTATTTAGGCACTGATGCCATTGATATTCTTTGTGGAAGGGTTATTCCTGTTAAACTCGGAATTATTGGGGTTGTGAACAGATCTCAAAAAGATATTATAGAAAACAAAGTAAGTTATTTTTTAATATTTTTATCAGAAATGAAAACAAACTCTCTATTCATTAATTATATTTTTAATTTATAGGATATAGAATCAGCTTTAAAAGATGAAGCTTCTTTTTTGCAAAGAAAATACCCTACTTTAGCAAACAGAAATGGAACTCCTTACTTAGCTAAAACTTTAAATCGTTTGCTTATGCATCACATAAGGGATTGTTTACCAGACTTAAAAGCTCGAGTGAATGCCATGATATCGCAATTTCAGACTTTATTAAATTCTTACGGGGAAGATGTTTCTGACAAAAGTCAAACTCTTCTTCAAATTATTACAAAGTTTGCGTCCGCATATTGTTCAACCATTGAGGGGACTGCTAGAAATATAGAAACAAATGAATTGTAAGTTTTTGCATCAATAGCTAGTATAAAAAAGAGCTAATGTAATTACTATCGCTTGTTAAAAAATTCATTTTTTTAATAACAGTTAATGGTGGTAAATATTACAAAATACAAAAGAAAAATTATTTTATTACGTATTTCAGATGTGGGGGTGCTAGAATTTGTTACATTTTTCACGAAACTTTTGGAAGAACGCTTCATCAAATT